TCGTAACCCGGAGGCCACTCGTACTGCAATTAGTTTATGCTGGTGAGGATGACAACCGAATGCGTGGGGAAGAAGGTGATGGCGTTGCAAAAGAGTGGGCAAAATTTTTACACAAAAAGAACGAAATATTTACGGACTTTACAAAAGTTCGAGAAGAGATCGACAGGGAAACGAACCGTTTAGCAGGCACGGGAAAAGTAAGTTCTAATCCTTCTATGTTTTAAACATCCTTTGTTGATTTTCGACTTTGTCTATGCACCATTATTTTCGCATACGCTGTTCTGTTTATGGATAAACGTCACTATATCTCCATATATGCATATACTCCCTGTATGAACAGTAAATCGCCGCCATTAGTTTTCGGAAATTCTAACGAGAGCTTATGGATCGTTGATTTTTTGTCGCACGGCTTACCACCTAAGCTGTGGCCCTCTGGACGTATGTTGCATGGCCGAGAATCTACGGGTTATCCGCAGCGAAAATTTTGCGTTGCACAACAAGAGGCTCTTTGATTGCCGCAGGCAGCAGCTCTCTTGTGTCCAATCGTTAGCGATGGCTTCAACTTTAAAGCAATAATTTCTGGCGAATTTACAATAAAATGTTTTCAGAAATCGCTTGGCGAAGGGACGATTTCCCACCTAGCCTAAGTTGGGGAATTTGGCACGTTCTTCCATGCATCCAACGCACTAGTTTAAAAATCTATCGGTGTTATGTCTAGCAGTTGAATGCCTTTTCGATGGCGGACGGTTCGGAGACTTTCTGTAGGTGGCCAGTTTGCTAGACCGGTCCCCGAACACCCGAAGATATTACCACAATATGGTCGGCGACCCAGAGCACTTATTTTGTTGCCAGCCTTTACTGAGATCCATTTCAGTACTTTCAATCTGTGGGCGCGTCGGCTAGCTCATGGCTAAGCTAATTGACTGGCCCCATATCCCTAGGCGTTGTCTTCTCAGAGAATCAGCAAGCCAATTTATTTCGGTGAGCATAACAATTATGCTCACTGGATAGTGTGATGGCCTTTTCTAGTAGGGCAACGCGACTACTTATTGCTTGCCCAAAATATTGTACTTGTGCAGCTTTTCCGGAGATTAAAAGCCGCATGCCTTTGGGAGGGAATGCGGGAAATGGGGGTTAGGGTCAGTTCATATATTACAGAATATGTGATCTAATCATCCATCCAGTGTTTTTTTGTGGTGAATTCTATTGGACTGAAAAAAGCTTTTATTGTTGTCCAGAGATATCATATGGTACCCAGCTCAAGACTATGATGTCCCCTGTTTTTAGTCACACTGACGAAGTACGCGATAAATACGTCATCCAATTGCTACAACTATTACTCCCTTTGAATACAAACTGGATTGCTTGTGTCTAGATGTTGCAAATTAAGCACGCCCCTCCATCTCTATGCTTTGCGACTATCACACAGATTTTATAGGCTAATTTGAATAAAGTCTACATGCATACGACATCAAGACAAAACGGCACTTTTTACAATTATCCTGTCCAGCGTTTTCTGCATGCAAGTAGCTTATTTGTGCTGAAGAGGGCTTTCCCGAAGTCACTTCTAAGTGCTCAAAAGAAAGGTAAACTGAGCTACCTCAGAAATTTCACCGTTATTGTAAATTTGTGCTGATAGTTATCAAAATATACTTTCAGAATGACACTTGTTTTGATCAGTAGAACGTCCAGTTTTATTACTGACTGATATCACTATTAGTTAAAAGCGGACTAGCTGTTTCCAAGGATGCAAGTCTTAGTGAAGTCGTACCCCAAAGTGTTTGATTACATACAGAACGCTGCAGGGTATCATAATTTTTGTAAAAAATACTGCCACCCGTAGAAGGGGTCTTTTAAAATTGAAGTTTGTTGGTCTAACAGCTTTAGTGTCAATTAAGAAGGCCAAAATTTTTATTCTCGGTGTTTATTTGTGCGTTTCCCTACTTTAAAAAACTCCGCAAAACATTTTCGCTTTTGCTTTTTTTAGTTCTTGTTATATTTGTTAGACATGTCTGAGTGTGGAATGGTGCATAGTAATTAGTTCGCCATAATTAACGATGCCCATCTTCACCAGATTGTTTTTGCGACTTGTTGATGGTGAGTGCAATAGTTGTTTATCGGAATGAGGGTGGATGTGGAAGTGGCTGACGGGTCCTATTCATAAATGGGTGTAAACAAGAGCAGATTTCCATATGCATGGTGTTTTTGTTAAACACGAAACGAACACCACGGACGAGTAGAGTCTGCCTGAACAACAGGCAGGCGGGGCAGGTCCAGGAGTGTGATTATAGCTGTCTGCAGGCCGATTAAGGCTATATATGAGAGCTTTGTACGCGAAACCACGCTTCTTAACTGCTAAATTAAATGTTTCAACCAATACGACCATGTTAGTCACACACACCGCCGTGAGTAAACAAGCCAGTTACTTTCTGCTCTTTGTCAGATCGAATTCGATGGGTGGAGGTTGTTCAGCTTCTAAAGTTATTCTGAGCAGTAGCGGAAATTTCCATCTGAGCTGTGGAATTGGATGTATGGAGGTGGACAACCAAGGAGGTACCGGCACGAAACTGTGTTCATACTGCGGACAAGAATTGGGTGGTTTCCTACCATCTTCACTGTCCCTCTACCTGCTATTGATGCCTTTATTATTGTTGCTGGCGTTTGCACTGTGTTAGCACCGGAGATGCCCCACGAAACAAGTTCGATCCGTGAACGTGCTTCGCTATTGACGACGTGACAGGTGGCTGCCTGTTGGTTATTCGGTTCCTTAGCATTATGGTGTTGCTTTCCTAACTCGTATGCTTTGTCCCGTATATTGTGCTGAATGACTAAATCACTGCA